TGTCCAGTTCTCAACCAGGAATTATGAAATGTGAAAAGCAACAAGAAAGTGTGACCCTCATGCAGGAAAAAAGAAGGCAACAAAAAGAGCCTTTGAGAGGGCTCAGATGTCAGATTTAGCAGACAAAGACTTGAAAGGAGCTATTATAAATATGTTCAAAGAACTAAAGGAAGTAATGATTAAAGAAGTAAAGAAATATGTGATAACAACGTTTTGTCATTGAGAATATCAATAAAGAGAAATTATACTTTAAAAAGAATCAAATGGAAATTCCTTAGTTGAAACATATAATAACTGAAATGAAAAATCTATGATAGGGATCAACTATAGATTTGAGCTGACAGAATAAAGAATCAGTGAACTTGAAGATAGGTCAATAAGGATTATATAATCTGAAGAATAGAAAGAATAATAAACAAAAATGAACCAAGCCTCAGAAAAATGTAGGACACCATTAAGTGCACCAACACACATGCGGTATGAATGCCAAAGGGAGGAGGAGAGAGAAAAATGAATCAAAAAAAATCTAAGAAACAATAGTTGTAAAAACATTTGATTAAAACATTAATCTACATATGCCAGAAACTCAACAGAATCCAAGTAGGATAAACGCAAAGAGATCCATAAATAGACACATCAGAATCAAAATGTTGAAAGGCAAAGAGAAAATTTTGAGACGAGCAAGAGAAAAAGGATTTGTTGTGTACCAGGGAACTACACTAAGGTTGATAGCTGGCTTATCAGGAAAAAAATGGAGACCAGAAGCAGTGGGATGATATATTCATAGTGTTGGGAAAAAAACGTGTCAACCAAGAATTATATGCCCAGCAACATCATCCTTCAAAAATGCAGGTGCCCCCTCTCACCACTCTTGTTCAACATTTTACTGGAAGTCCTAGCTAATGTAACAATAAAAGAAAAGAAAAGAAAAGGTATACAGACTTGTGAAGGAAGAAATAAAACATCTTTGTTTGCAGATGAAATTACTGTCTAGGTAGAAAATTCCAAAGAATTGACAAAAACTCCTGGAACTAGTAAGCGAATATAGAAAGCTTGAAGGATACAAGGTTAACATTAAACAGTCAATTGCGGGGCCAGCTCAGTGGCACAATGGTTAAGATCTCATGTTCCGCATCGGCAGCCCAGGGTTTGTTGGTTCGGATCCAGGGTGTGGCCCTACCTACTCACTGCTCATCAAGCCATGCTGAGGTGGAATCCCACATAGAAGAGCTAGAAGGACCTACAACTAGGACATACAACTATGTACTGGGGGCTTTGGGAGAAAAAAAAAAAAAAAGAAAAAAAAGAGGAAGATTGGCAACAGATTGGCTCAGGGCCAATCTTCCTCAAAAAAAAACAAAAGTCAGTTGCTTTCCTATATACTATCAATAAACAGGTAGAATTTGAAATTAAAAACACATCACCATTTACATTAGACTCCCCCAAAATGAAACCTTTAGTTATAAATCTAACAAAATGTGTACAAGATCTATATAGGAAAACCACAAAAGTCTGATGATAGAAACAAATTTCTAAAATAAATGAAAAAATATTCCATGAGTGTGGACAGGAAGACTCAATATTGTTTTTTTGTTGTTGTTGTTGTTTTTCATTTATTTTTCCCCCAAAGCCCAGTAGATAGTTGTATGCCATAGTTGCACAGCCTTCTAGTTGCTGTATGTGGGACGTGGCCTCAGCATGGCCAGAGTAGCGGTGTGTCGGTGCATGGCCGGGATCCGAACCTGGGCCGCCAGCAGCGGAGCGTGAGCACTTAACCGCTAAGCCACGGGGCCGGCCCAGGAAGACTCAATATTGTTAAAGTATCAGTTCTTCCCAACTTGATCTACAGATTCAATGCAAACTCAATCAATATCCCAGAAAGTTACTCTGTGGCTAACAACAAACTGATTCTAAAGTTTATATGGAAAGGAAAAAGGCCCAGAATATTGAAGATGATGATAAAAAAACAGTCAGAGGACTAATAGTATCCAAGTTCAAGACTTACTATAAGACTATAGTAATCAAGGCAGTGTGGTATTAATGAAAGAACAGACAAAAAGATCAATGGAACGTAATGGAGAGCCTAGAAATAGACCCCCACAAACATAGTAAACTAATCTTTGAGAAAGAAGCAAAGGTAATCCAAAGGAGAAAGGAGTACTGGAACAACTGGACATCCACATGCAAAAAAAAATTGAATCTATACAATAACCTTACACATTTGAAAAATATTAACTCAATAAGGATGATAGATCTAAACAGAAAACAAAAAGCTAGAACACTTCTAGAAGATAAAATAAGAAAAAATCTAGGTGACCTTGGGTTTGGCAATGGGTTTTTAGGCTTAATACCAAAATCACAATCCATGAAAGAAAAATTAAGTTGAACTTCATTAAAATTAAAAACTTCTACTCTGTTTAACATATCATTAAGAGAATGAGAAGACAAGCCACAGACTGGGAGAAAATGTTCACAAAATACATGTCTGATAAAGGACTTGAAACACAAAGAACTCTTAAACTTCAACAATAAGAAAACAACCCAATTAAAAAGTAGGCAAAAGAACTTAACAGACACCTCACCAAAGAAGATATACAGATAGCAATGAAGATGTCCTTCAATAAATCAATGGATAAACAAATTGTAGGACATTCATGCAATGGAATATTATTCAGTGATAAAAAGAAATTAGTTTCAACCATGAAAAGACATGGAGGAATTTTAAATGCATATTGCTAAGTAAAAGAAGGCAGTATGAAAAAGCTACATATTGTATGAGTCCAACTATATAATATTCTGAAAAAGGCAAAACTATAGAGACAGTAAAAAGATAGTGGTTGCCAGGGAAAGTTAAGTGGGGAGGGATGAACAGAGGATTTGTAAGGCAGTAAACTATTTTGTATGTTCTTGTAATGGTAGATTTAACCAGAATTTGAGATGAAGATAAATGAAAATATAACACACCAAAACATAGGGAGCTAGCTAAAGCAGTGCTTAGAGGGGAAATTTATGATATAAACATCTATATTACAAAAGAAATATTTCAAATCAATTGCCTCACCTTCCACCATAAGACACTGGAAAAAGAAGAGCAAACTAAGCCTAAATCAAACAGAAAGAAGGGAGAAAAAAGGTTACAGAGGAAATTATTGAAATGGAGAATAGAAAAAGAATAGAGAAAAATCAAGAGGACCAAAAGTTAGTTCTTGGAAAAGATCAATAAATTGACAAAATTTTGCTAGACTAACCAAGAAAAAAAAAAGACTCAAATCAATATATAAATAAAGAGGAGACATGACTATGAAACTTACAGAAATAAAAAAGAAGGGGGAATACTATGAATAACTCTATGCCAACAAATTAGACAACTTAGATGAAATAGACAATTTCCTTAGAGTCAAACTATCAAAACTGACTCAAGAAGAAATAGAAAATCTTAGTAGACCTATAACAGGTAAGGAAGGGAACTTCCTCACCTTGTAAAAAGAATGTTAGTTCTCTAAGTCTGCTGTAACAAAATACCACAAACTGGGTGCCTTAAAACAACAAATATTTATTCTCTCACAGTTAAGGAGAGTAGAAGTCTGAAACCCAGTCTGAAATCAAACCTGTTAGCAGGGCCATGCTCTCTCTGAAGCCTCTAGGGAGGATTTTTCCTTACCCATTTCATCTCCTTGTAGCACCAGGCATTCTCTTGCTTGTGGCAACATAGCTCCAATCTCTGGCTCTGCCATACATGACAATCTTTCCTCTGTATGTGTGCCTGTCTCTTCTTTTCTTCTTATAAGAACACCATTCATATTGGATTAAGGCCCATCCTAATTACCTCATCTTAATTTTATTACATCTGCAAAGAACTGAATTTAAAAATGAGATCACATTCACAATTACGAGGGGTTAAGACTTCAACATATCTTTTAGGAAGACACAATTTAACCCATGTCCATTTAAGGACATCTATGAAAAAACCAAAATTCCCACAGATAACATTATACTTAGTAGTGAAATAGAAAATGCTTACTCCCTACAATCAAGAACAAGACAAGAATGTCTGTTCTGGCCACTTTTATTTGGATTTGTACTGGAGGTTCTATCCAGGGTGATAAGACAAGAAAAAGAAATAAAAGACATCAGACTGAAAAAGAAGATGTGAACTATATTTGCTGATAACATGATTTTGTATATAAAGAAATCTTAGGAATTCACCAAAGCACTATTTCAATGAATAAATGAGTTCAGAAAGGATGTAGAATACAAGGTCAAAATACAAAATCAATTGTATTTCTATACTAGCATTGAATAACCTGAAAATGAAATTAAGAAATCAATCATTTACAATAGCATCAAAAAGAATAAATTATCTAGAAAAAAATAGCAAAAGAGTGTAATACTTGTACACAGACAACTATAAAACTTAATTGAAATAAATTAAAGATATAAATACTTGGAAAGACATCCATGTTCATTGATTGGAAGACATAATGTTGTTGAGATGGCCATATTCCCTAAGTCAATCATCAGATTCAACACATTCCTTATCAAAATTACAGCTGCCCTTTTTTTTAACAGAAATTGACAAGCTCATCCTGAAATTCATATGAAAATACAAGGGACATAGAATAACCAAGACAATCATGAAAAAGATGAATAAAGTTGGAGGACTCATGCTTCCTAATTTCAAAACTCACTACAAAGTTATAGTAATCAAGACAGTGTGGTACTGACACCAGATCAGACATATAGAAAAATGGAACTGAATTGAGAGGCTAGAATTAAACCCTTAGAGTATGGTCAATTGATTTTCTACAAGCGTTCTACAACAATTCAATGGAGAAAGTGCAGTCCTTTCAACAAATGATGCTGAGAAAACTAGAAGGCACATGCAAAAATAAATAAATGAAACTGGAACCTTCCTAACACCATACACGAATGTAAGTCAAAATGGATCATAGATCTACATATAAGAGCTAAAACTATAAATTCTTAGAGGAAGATATAAGAATAAATCTCTGTGACTTTGGATTAGATAATGGTTTCTTAGATATGACACCAAAGCATAAGCAACAAATGAAAAGATGAAGTGGACTTCATCAAAATTAAAAATTTTTATACTTCAAAAAACACCATTAGGAAAGTGAAAAAGAGTATCATGGCAGTGTAAAATGCTCCTCCTTTTTGTTCCCTGTTTACAACAAAGAATTTTACATCCATCCATGGACAAAAATACTTTTGTGGGAGCTGTGGTATCCAGCACCATATGTCAAGGGACCTGGGAGAAGTCTTGCCCATGTATGCATCCAGTAATAGCCAGACAGACTTTGGTTTGGGCTGTGGAACCAGCAGAGCAGCAAACTAGCCCAACCCCTCTTGCCACAGTCAGGGAAAAAGCTTGGAGAGCACTGTCCTGTGCAGATACCCAGGGAAGAACAGGAAATTGTAGAAGCCTAGCCTTGTGAGGGGTTGGATTCCAGCACACGATTGGAGGGGTAAAAAAAATGAGTTTGGACTCAGCACACAAAGTAAGAAGAAAGAAAGAAGAACCAGCACCACCACCACCAAGGCAACATTGCACAGGGCTGAACTATCAGATAGTGGTAACCTTTCCTGTAGGAGAAAAGGAGAGTGGTGAGTGAGTTCCCAGCTACCCCAGTGGTGCAGGATGCAGCTGGAAAATCCTGTTTCTCTCCAGCAGCACCTAGGGTACTGAGGCAGGACATCCATGACTGGGAGGAGATCAGGAAAGAGGCAGATAAGAATATCAAAGGGCATTCGAGGGACCTGATTCTTGCTGGCTGTGCTCAGCAGGAAGTCTACTCATGAGCCGCTGGGAGAGCCACACCTGGGGATCTCCCTACCAGGTCCCCAGGTCTATGGGCACCCCCAACACTCCAAGCGTTAAAGCCATACCTCCCCTGACTCTGCTGCTGGCTCCTTGTATGTGCTCTGGAGTTAGGGGGCAAGATCAAGCTCCAGTAGATAGGGAAGGTGCTCAGAAAACAGGCCAGGATCTATGAGCAAGAAAGAAACCACAAACTTGAGCTATAGAGCCACCTTCTGGAAAACAAAAGAGAGGTTTCCAGTAGCCAGCCTGGCAAGTGGTAAGAACTGGAGAAGACATAAAGCTTATGAATTCTGCAACAAGAAGGGAATAAAAGTGGAACAGGTGTACTCATACAAAGGCAGAGAAAAACCTAGACAATAACGGCACCAACGAGCAGAATAGCCTATCTGAAGGCAAGTAGCAAAGATTTAAGGAGGTGTCTGGTACTTCAAATGTGAAAGCAGCAATGCAAAACTTCAGGGAGCATGAAAAATCAAGGAAATATGTCATCAACAAAAGATAATAATTCTCCAATAAGTGAGCTTAAAGGCATGCAATATTGCAATCTAGATGATAAAGAATTCAAATTAGCCATTTTGAAGAAACTCAATAAGCTACAAGAAAACTCAATAAGCTACAAGAAAACTCAGAAAGACAATTTAATGAAATCATGAAAAAATGACAGGTCCAAATGAGATATTTGTCAAAGACATAGAAATAATTTTCAAAACATGCAAGCAAAAATTCTGGAGCTGAAGAAGTCAATAAATGAAATGAAAAATTCAATATACAGCATCTGCAGTGGAGTAACAAATGGAACACAGAAAAAGTGAGTTAGAGGATAGGAATTGTGAATTAAGTCAGCGGAGGACAAAAAAGCAGTGAAAAGAGCAAAGAAGGCCTACACGATCTATAGGATAGCATTAAATGAACAAATATTAGAATAATTGGTATTCCATAAGGAGAAGAGAGGGAGAAGAGCGGGAGAAGAGGGCAGAAACTTTATTTGAACATATAATAGCTCAGAACTTCCCAAACCCAGGGAGAGAATTGGACAACCAAGTTCACACAGCTAATAGATCACCCTATAATCCCAATCAAAAATACCATCTCCAAGACACATTATAATGAAAAGATAAATTGAACATAAAGAAAGAATTCTAGGGCCGGCTCTGTGGCTTAGCAGTTAAGTGCGCGCTCTGCTGCTGGCGGCCCGGGTTCGGATCCCGGGCGCGCACCGATGCACTGCTTCTCCGGCCATGCTGAGGCCGCGTCCCACATACAGCAACTAGAAGGATGTGCAACTATGACATACAACTGTCTACTGGGGCTTTGGGGAGAAAAAAAGGAGGAGGATTAGCAATAGATGTTAGCTGAGAGCCAGTCTTCCTCAGCAAAAAGAGGAGGATTAGCACAGATGTTAGCTCAGGGCTGATCTTCCTCACAAAACAAAAAAAAAGGAAAGAATTCTAAAGCATCCAAGGCGGGGGAAAAGATTATAACCTACAAAGGATCCCCTACTAGGCTATCAGTGGATTTCTCAGCAAATCAAAGATAAAGAAAGATTTCTAAAGTATCCAGAGGAAAAAAATTATAACCTACCAAAGAACTCCCACTGGGCTATCAGTGGATTTCTTAGCAGAAACCCTATAGACCAGGAGAGAGTTGAATAACATTTAAATTTTGAAAGAAAAATTTCCAGCCAAGAATACTCTATCCAGCAAACTTATCCTTCAAATATGAAGGAGAAATAGAGACTTTCCTAGACAAACAAAAGCTGAGAAGTTCATCACCACTAGATCTGCCTTGCAAGAAATGCCAAAAGGAGTTTTTCAAGCTGAAATGAAAAGACACTAATCAGTTACATAAAAACACGCAAAACTATACAACACACTAGTAAAGGTACATATACAGTCACACTTAGACAACTCTAATTCTGTAATAGGACGACATGGTAACCACTTAACTATAGTATAAAGGTCAGAGGAAAAGAGTGTTAAAATAATTATAGCTACTAAAATTTGTTAACAAATATGCAATATAAAAAGAGACAAACAATGACATCAAAAATATAAAAGGGGAGAGTAAAAGGGTGAACCTTTGTAGACAATTGAAGTTAAGCTGCTATCAACTTAAAATGGACTTTTATGCATGGAATGTAACCACAAAGCAAAAACTTAGAGTAGATGCACAGAGGATAAAGAAAAAAGAAAGAGCATACCACCATGGAAAATCCCCAATTTACAAAGGTAGGCAGAAAGAGGGGAAAAAAGAAACAAGGGATATAAAAAACAACCGAGAAACAATTTAAAAGGTGGCATTAGTAAGTCCTTACATATCAATAATAAATCTAAATGCAAATGCAATAAATTAATCAATCAAAAGGCACAGAGTGGCTGGATGAAAAGAGGAGACTCAACTATATGCTGCCTACAACAGACTCACTTGAGCTTTAAGGATACACACAGGCTCAAAGTGAAGGGTTGGAAAAAGATATTCCATGCATGTAGAAACCAAAAGAAGGTGAGCATAGCTATATTTATATACCTTTTGTCTATTATCAGACAAAATGGACTTTAAGCCAAAAACAGTAACAAGAGACAAAAAAGTCAATTTATAAAGTGGTCAATTCATCAAGAAAATACAATAATCACAAATATATATACACTGAACATCAGAGCACCTAAATATACTAAGCAAACACTAACAGATCTGAATGGAGAAATAAACAATACAATAGCACGGGACTTCAATACCCCACTATTAACAATGGATAGAGAAAAATCAAAATTAAGAGCTGTTTTTTGAAAAAGATAAAAAAAAATTGACAAACTTTTAGCTAGACTAAGAAAAAAAGAGAAGACTCAAATAAAATCAGAAATGCAAGAGGAGACACTACAACTGATACTACCAAAATACAAAGGTTCATAATAGACTAGTATGAACAACTACATGCCAACAAATTAGATAACCTAGAAGAAGTATATAAATTCCCAGAAACATACAATCTACCGAGACTGAATCAAGAAGAAATAGAAAATCTGAACAGACCAATAACAAGGAAGGAGATTGAACCAGTAATCAAAAACATCCCAACACAGAAAAACCCAGGACCAGATGGCTTCACTGGCAAATTGTATCAAACATTCAAAGAAGAATTAATGCCAATCCTTCTCAAACTCTTCCAAAAATAAAGAAGAGGGATCACTTCCTAACTCATTTTATGAGTCAAATATTACCCTAATACCAAAGCCAGATAAGGACACTACAAGAAAACTATACACTGATATCCTGATGAAATAGATGCAAAAATTCTCAACAAAGTATTAGCAAACTGAATTCAACACACATTAAAGGATTGTACAACATGACCAAATGGGATTTCTCTGGGATGCAAGAATGGTTCAAGATACACAAATTGATAAGTATGGTACGCTGCATTAATAGAAAGATAAAAATCATATGATCATCAACAGATGCAAAAAATCGTTTGAAAAAATACAACATCTTTTCATGATAAAAACTCTCAACAAATTGGGTTTAGAAAGAATATATCCCAACATAATAAAGGCCATATATATAATAAATCCACAAGTAACATTGAAAGCTTTTCCTCTTAGATCAGGAACAAGACAAGGGTGCCACACTCACCACACTTATTCAACATAGTACTGGAAGACTTAGGTAGAGCAATTAGGCAAGATGAAGAAATAAAATGAATCCAAATCAAAAAGGAAGAAATAAAGTTGCAGATGATTATCTGCAGATGATTTGTTCTTATATATAGAAAACTCTAAAGACTCCACCAAAAACTGTTGGAACTAATCAACAAATTCAGTAAAGTTGCAGGATATGAAATCAACATACAGAAATCAGTTGTGTTTCTATACACTAACAACAAAACACCTGAAAAAGATAATGAAAACCATCCCATTCATAATAGGATCAAAAACAATAACACAGTAATTTAATCAAGGAAGTGAAAGATCTACACAATGAAAACCACAAGACTTTGAAGTGGGAAAGAAAATAGAAGGAAGCCTATACAGGGTACAATAATGAGCAAGTTACCACTGAGAGCAATTGGGGCTCAATTGGGCAACTAAGAACCTGGTATTGGTTGCCTATGCTGTACAAGTTACTGCAAACATAGTAGCTTAAAACAACATACATTTGTTATCTCAGTTTTCCATCGGTCATGAGTCTGGGCACAGCTTACCTGGATCCTCTATTCAGG